CCCCAAAACCCCAAAACCCCAAAACCCCAAATTAAATTTAGCTTATTGAAATATGCTTTGTAATAATTTGATTTTGTGTATCCTCAGAATTAATCTTATTGAAATTCCTTGAAGTAAGTTTTTACTCTGTCAACTCTCCTTCCTCATACTTCTCTTCGCTATGCTCCTTGATTGGGATGTCCCACAAGTGATGTGAAGTGATCATCTTTGTATCTTTTATAACTCAAAATACAACTTAAAAATACTCGACGCATCTTCCTTTGTATATCTGTGATTAAGAACAAGCTCTTACGTCATGATTTCTGGCGACTCTAAAAATTCTTTGCTTTCTGTTTGTAAGTTGAAGATTTGGTTTCTGATTTCAACCAGCTTATTGATCCTAAACTTTTCAGAGTTGCATTTACAGTTGCTTCATGGATTTGAAATAGCGCAGAATCTTCTTGCCGCTGTTTTCGAAGAAATCTGATACCTTCGGACGGAAACTACCTGAGAACAAGAAATCTGTAGGGTTTGGTGCATCCAGTTTTTTCAGATACTTCCTTGTTCTCTTCTTAAGCTATGCAGCATGAAATGAGATAGAATACGATAATTACCTTAGATCTTCTCTTGGCTTCACTGAGACTTAAGTTATTTGCACGCAGCTGCAATCGTCTTCATTTCAGGGTTCATAATGTTATCAAGGAAGTCTATTGTAACGAAAAATATACTACCTTTGAATGTGTTCTTAAGATATTCTCTTCTTTTGTCACTATATTTTATTTGGTTCGGAAATCAAAGTTTTACCCATAATCACAAATTTTCTCTGCGGCTTGTTCGATTTCTGAGTATCTGACTTGGGTCGGGTCTAGAAGTATCTTCTTTGCTAATGTATTGAAGTAGTAGTCTTCATACTCTTGCAAAGATGAATTGTATTTGTAAATACAAGACTGACCAGCTATCTTCGACTATAATATATTTGTTCAAACAAAGATTGAAAGGATGTTGGATAGAGTAATTTCCTAAATTTCTGTGTTAATAATCCCAATATTAATATGAAAATGGAAAGTGTGAAGAAACAAGATACTTCCAACTTTTGTTATATCATAAAATATCAAGCCTCCTACTGGGCTTCAATAACTTGTGAAGCAAATATTCTACATAAATTCTATCCTAATCTTCTATTTCTTCTCTACCCACTCACCGAAGTGGCATTCTTGTCTTCTTCTTTGGTTTGCTCCTCTTTGTTCTTCTGTTGCTTCAATTGTTGCTTCAAACTAAGGTTTTCTTTCTCAAGATTTTTCACCTTATCTTCCAAAATCTGAATATATTGCTTCTTCCTTTCTCTATGTTCTTTCGCTCTTTGCTTTGATGACTTTGTCTGTTTCATACTTTATTTAAAATTATATAATTTAAAACTTACATAACCCTCTCCATAAACCCAACTTAAACCGGGGTTTTGGGGTTTTGGGGTTTTGGGGTTTTGGGGTTTTGGGGTTTTGGGG